AAAAAAAAAGGAAGAGTTCTAACTGTACGAGGGCTAGCACACAACATATAACTTTCTATCTGATATGCTGAGGCTCATTTCTTCAAATTCAATGTTGTTTTAGTAGGAGTGTTGATCTTACATCACATCTTATTAAAATGACGTATAACTTTCTATGGTTCTAATAAGCACATTAGGAAAGAGATAGATAATTAAAAAGAAACTGATAAGATATTTAGATAAGCATAACCTACATGTTCTTTCCTACTTTCCTGCAAGTATGCATTTGCCATATTAATTGGTATTTTGAACAAATAGCAGTCAACTTTACTATTTTTTTTTTTGGTATATATAAATTATTTACTGATTATATATGATTTGACATATATTATACATGAAACACACACACATATTTTTGCCTACTATTTTTAATTTAAGTGATTGCGCGTGAGCGGCTATTTAGGCTAATTCTTCTTTATCAAATAAATTATTCCAGCATCAGTAAAAAATAATTTAAATCCAAACTTATATTCTATAAAGCCCTAGCAATCTGACTGATAACGAAGGTGTTTATAGGACTTATTATTATTATGACATGGATACATCAAGAAACCACAAATAGTATGATTCCAAAGGTTGTTAAGTTTTTTTTTTTAAAGTAGTACTTGCTAATTGATAAGAAAGTTTTTTTTTTTCTAATTGCAACACCCACATGGAACACTTGCTTTTGGTAAAAAAAGGAATATATGAAAATCTATTGGTTGTTTGCATACTATTTCGCAGGTTTAAATAACAAAATTTTAAGTTCTGTTACAGTTTGAATCATCTCAATTTATTTAATAATAATGGTGTCCGAATTACCTTACGCACGTGACTATTCCCATTTTTTGGATTGTTTTAGTATACTATTTCTTTAAGTGTGAATATTGACATGATTTTATATTTTTTTATCTGTATATGTTTAAAGCATCTAAATCTTATAAAGTCTAATAAGCTTTTCGTGATGGTGGGGAGTTGAATAAGTATCTAGGTCTTATATTAGCGTTAGTAGATACTTAAGAGACTAGAGCATATTTAGCAGAATGGGAAAAGAACAGAAATAACTTTATCCAATGAGTTTCAAACTATACGTCGTCATTGACTTTTGGGGATTTCTCCATTATCAGAGAAAGAAAAAAGAAAGAAATGTATAATACCTGCTTTCATGAAACAATATTTCTAATTATGCCAATTCTTAAGAGAAAATAACTTAATTATATATCCAAATATTGATGCTTGTATCGAATCACATCTATTTGTATGGTTAAATAATAAATTAAGTTAATTATATATATATATTAATTAACTATATTTACGTGATTAAACTGTATGTAAAAGATAACTGACATATAACCTTCACTGATTTGATGTAAATATTAAAACATATCCTAATCCTCCGCGACAGCTCGAATATTACCAAAAATAGGAAAATAACAAAAAAGAGAATATAAATAAAAGCAACGGTAAACGGAAGTAGGAGTATTGAAACATGTCCAAATCTTCCACGACAACTCGAATATTATCAAAAATTGAAATAATAAAAAAGAGAATATATATAAAAATATGCCATAATTTTCAGCGGCAACTCGAAAAATTACCAAAAATTAGAAATAGTAAAAAAAAAAGAGTAAAAATAAAAATAATGGTAAACTAAACTGGAATACTTATTCATTCATTTGCAAATTAAGGGATATTATTAAGAGAGTATCAAATACTAATAATCTTAGAATATCAAATCACTACTGGTCTGGGCTGGGCCTGAAAATTGACTTGACCGTCACAATATTGTAGAGGTAATTTTGAAATTCTTTTGAAAAATGGAGAGTACAGTCATCACTATAATTAAATATCTAAATTTACTTGCCTCATAACATGTGAACACTAAAGAAAATAAACTGGATTCATCTCTATGAACTACCAAAGCTGAAAAACCAAAGATGTTGGAAAAAATCTATAAATACTAGGCTTCTGCATTACAAAGTTCATATCATAGAGTAACTTTTAGTAATAAATACTCCCTCTGTTTCAATTTATGTGAACCTATTTCCTTTTTAGTCCGTGTCAAAAAGAATGACATCTTTCCTTATTTGGAAACAATTTACCTTTATGCAATGATTTATAGCCACACAAAATATATGTGCTTCATTCTACACCACAAGTTCAAAAGTCTTCTCTCTTTTCTTAAACTCTGTGCCCAGTCAAATGGGTTCACATAAATTAAAACAGAGGGAGTACAAGTTATATCATTATCATCCTGGAGAATGAGTACTAGGTTTATTAAGGATCGCAAAAGTGTTTTTCTTGCGAAGATAGAAAATCAGAATAATCGACAAGTGACCTCAATGCTGAAATGGTGTCTTCAAGAAAGCAAACGAGCTTGCTGCTATGAATGGTGCTGAAGATGGCATCATCATTTTTTCACCAGGTAACAAACCTTAAGTTTTTTTTGGTTATCTAGATATACATAATATATAACATCAACAAATATATGTAAATGTACATGCGGTTCATAATTAAACATGCAAATCCAAGAGTTTGAACATGATACTTAATCTCAAGTAAAATTAAAGCATCATATATAAAAATAATTCATGACACGGGAGACGTTATAACTGTAGATAAATTGATTTCTCTCCTCTTGCCATATTTTCTATTACTGATTTCTCTCCTCTAACCCTATAGGTAGCAAGCCTTACTCTTTTGGTCATCCAAATGTAAATGAAACCATTAACAAATATGTTGGGGAAGAAAATCCTCCATCACCATTATCATCAGGCATTGATGACAAGTATGTGCAGACGTTCCTAAAAGTCAATTCTAGAAAACTTAACGCACAACTCAATACTCTACAAGACCAGCTGGATTTTGCGTTAAACTTGAAAAATAAACTCAAGGAGATGAATAAGAATGTGGAGAGCCAACAAGAGTGGTCCAGGGGCCCTATAGAGAAGATGAACTACACAAAGGCTTCAATATTAAAAGAGGAGTTGGAAGATCTTCTCTTGAAGGTAAAGAACTATGGTATTGAACGTGGGTATGGTTACAAAATGAAAAGTGGAAGGCTGAATAAAAGCAACTACTAGTTTGTTACGATCAAACAATCGAAGCAATTTACAGAGAGAATAAATCAGAACATTAGTTCTGAGAGAAAGAGAAAAGGGGGAATTTTTATTGAACGTGATAAAGTGAGTTCTCTGATCTTTACAAATCAGCCTACTACAATATATATATATATATATATATA